CCAGGGGACCACAAAACTACTTTTGGTTCCGTCAGAAACCACCCCTGCCCTCAGAAACTTGAGTTTTAAGGGGTTGTCTACGTAAGGCGCACAAGCTAAAGTAACAGGAAAAGTACTCTGCTGTAGTGGGTCGGCTCCATGATATTTACACATAGCAAGTGGAAGGGGAGTCTGCTCTATTAATTCAAACCAATTCCAGCCTGGATTTTGACGGGGGAGTATTGAAATTGTCAGGGAAGAACCAAGGCGCTACAAAAACTATTAAAAACTGAACTTTGATGCACACCAAAGGGAGCTTCTCATAGCGTCTGAACAGAGACAAATTGGACCAGCTTTTGTTACTTTCATGTCAACTCACCTGTACTTTCAGGTAAAACTGACTCCATGGACTTCTATGCTCATGTCAAGAACATTTCTGGTCCGAGATCCTGCAATCATATTAAACGGTACTTTTAGCGCTCATCGACTATTAGTTACATATAATTTACTCACACAATACACTTTTAAATGCCTCTCTCCCCATGCGTCTCTAAATGACCATGGTCTTTCAAATAACTAATTTTGGCACTGGACTAAGCATTAAGTACGAAGGGGCAGCTGCAAATTATCTGCAACGCACATTGATTGATTGTTTGGAGGATTACGCAAATAGTACTACTTGGTTTGCACCCCAACTAGAAAGCAATAAAGTTTTCTGTTCCACGAGAATAATATAGAGTAAAATATATGTGATAAAACACTGGCAGTTCACCCATTTGCATAAGTGACCTACAACAGTATTTAACATACTGCATGGATTGGAGGAGTCTACCCATTCAACACCTTTTCAACAAAGCTGACAGTGAGCCAAGTTATTTACATCACGGGCATCATTTACTCGGTCTCAAAAAATAACTTACAACTTAATTGTGCGTGTTAACATTGAGTCACAGGAGAACACTAACCTCCTACAACAACAACCGGAATAGAACAATTCAATATTCCGGACCGGAAACAATCAAGCACTATACCTTGCGATTAATATCGAAAAGCGGCGATGTCCACTCTAAAATTCTGGTTAAAATCCTATGATGATCAATTATATGAGTAAGTATTATCGGTATTTGGCAGAAACGCCGATCGTGACACCTATTATAATTACTGGTTGTTTACGTTTCCATAAGGGCGCGGGATATGCGAGGTGGGGACGGGGAGGAGGAGAGGGGTACGGTAGGGGACGCGGCACGGCAAAGGGGGAGAGCAATAGTGTATTTCGACTAACGGAGGAAGAAGAATAGCAGGTAGAACATAAACGTTTCTGATTGGCCGAGAGATTCCCGCCTCTAAGTCACTTCGGTAGAGGGGGCGAAGGCTCGACCAATCAGGAGCCTTAATGTTCTACCCACTCTTCTTCTTCCTCCGTTAGTCAAAATACACTATAACTAGCTCTAGTTTGAGACTATAATGGTCGAGCAAGTCCCATTTAATTTATTTTACTAGCAACGACTTAAAAAGTCATGTGGCTTCGCCATTTAAGGCCCTGTTATACAGAACTGTAGTGGTTTTATCAGTGCAGTCGTACCGGGTGTCCGTAAGAATACGCGACAGCTCGATGGGTTGCCTACGCACTAGCGTGCAGGCGCGGAGGGCGCGGGGGGAGCGGTGGAGTTGCGCACCATCCAGCGAATTCCGAACAGACTATAGAGGCGCCGTTTAGGGCCAAACTATTTTTCAACGAATGTGAAAAAGAGGGAGTACCCACGTGCTTTTACACGGGGCTCCGAATGCTTAACTTCGGAGTTCAGATGGAATCCGGTGTGTCCACGCCAGCAGCCAGACTGTTAGATCCGACCAACTGTTGACCAGGGTTGTCGCCTACCCGATTAAACAGGAACGACGGGTACCCAATTTGTTTTGGAATCGGAATTGTTTTGCAGTCGGCCAAACCGTATCTTATTTTGACAGCCTCGGGTCCAGGAGGAGGTCGCTTGTGCTCTTCACGCGGGGGCAGGAGGGGGCACAGGAGGGGGCAGCGGGTGGGGAGGGTGGCCTCTCAACCCCCGAGACCCTTCGCAAATACAAGCTGCGCGGCGGCGTTCCAGCTTTGAAAGGGTAATCATCCCCCATCTGTATGCAGCACTGGCCGGGCCGCGTCCGAGTGAGGTGGGCGAGGGTCCTCCCGGGGCCGGCAGCCGGCACCGAGTGAGGGAGACGGAGACGCGCTGTTGTGTCGCCCCAAAGTGCCCCCCGCCACGGCCCGTTCCCACGTTATGCTGAGCTGCGAGACGGCAGAACGCGCCGACAACGGACCGCAAAAATCACCCGAGTGGCGCGTGGCGCCGCTTAGGCCGGCAGCCCACCGGGCGTCCCCGCGCCGCGCGCCCGGCGGCAGGCAACCCAACGCGCGCCAGCCTGGGCTTCGGCCCCACACCCCGCAGTGCGCATTCAGGGAAACTCACGGAGTGGTCATGAATTTCTTGGCAGTACATCCGAGTACATCGGAATTGCGTCACGAAATATTATACGTCTTTTTTAAAAGTCGTGTAGGGAGTCAGACGCGGATGCCAGGATCGCTGGACTGGCAACACTGCTCGCTAAGCCCCGCTACGGTGGCCGCGGCAGTCGGCAGTGAGTGGTCTTTCGCTTTCCAACGTTTACACCCCGCCGTCGGTTTTAGCGTGAGAATGAACAGGCGCGGGGCCAGACGTGCGTGACCCTTGCCCCGGCGTGACTAACCGAGTGTGCGTGACACACATGATAGTGTAGAGTTACTGCCGGGCCGGCTGGGGGTGGGCTCGAGTGGGCCTGCAGGCCGCCTGGACACGGGGCGCGGGGCTGTGATTGCGCCCGCGATTCACGTGTGCCCGGCGGAGACCGGCGGCCG